ATAATGTTAATTTTTTTTATCACTATAAAGTTATTTTATATGACAGGTGCCTAATTTGTCACTAAGAGCATTAGTGACAAGGGTTTTACTAACGATTTAAATTTTATCACTAATAATAATTTGTAACGAAAAATAAAGATTTAATGATCAATAATTTAGTCACTAAATGTGGATTTTTTGGTAGTGTATGGAATAAGCACTTTCTCTTTCGCTAAACAATCCAAATGCCCTTTGAAAAGTTCAAGTGGAAATAGACATGACGATAGAACGAGGTAGGCTGATTGAGGAAATCTCCTCCATATTCAAATCAAATCTAGGGGAAAAGAGGCTTGGGTTTTGAGGATTTTTAGATCTGGGTTTTAAGGGGGAGAGCCAGTGGCAAAATAAAATGGCAAAAGGGGCTTCTTTGAATTTGAGGAGTCTAGATCTCGAGTGGTCTTATGTGCTTTCTTCTTGGTTTCATGGTATAAAAAAGGAAGAAGAAGAGGAAGGAGCTCATGGATTTATTGGTGTTGAATGCACTTGTCATGTATGATTTTCGATTGCTCCTTAAGTGATTGTTGTGAATTTTGTGGTTTGTCAGTTGAAATTGTGATTAAAACTAATGGAAGACCAATTCAACCTTAGGTTTCCTCCATCTTGACTAGAAATCGAATATGGATGGCCTGGCAAATTTTTTGATCTTATTTTGTATATATATATTTTTTTATTTCTTGTGAGTTGCTAGAATATCTAACCAGTGTTTCAAAGAAGATAGATTATTGGCAGCGTCAGGCCAGTGTCCAACCCATTTTTTGGTTGAATGAAATGTTGTAAAAATTCTTTACACGTGATATTCTTTAGAAATGTGAAATTAAAAACTTGAGAAATCTAGTAGCCTCTATAGTGTAAGAAGATGGAGAAGCTTAGTGGTACAAAATTTGGGGATGCTTGCTTCTTACATAAATCAACTATGAATGTCAGCAAGATTTAGCCTTTCTCCAACTAATTTCAAATAGTGGGGTATTTATATTTTAATTGGTGTGTAACAGAGGGTGAACGATTATAATGTGTGCCAATCATATTGTCCCACACCAATATTAAAATGGAGTATATATAATGTATATATTCCAATATTCCAACAAAAGTTTAGTTATGTTGCTATTTAGTAACTTAAAATTAATCTTGATATGGGCCAACAACTCAAGTAATTTAATGATAATTTTTTTTTAGAGAAAGTAGTGAAAATATGAAGTTAAGAATTCAAGCCAAATAAGTGAGTTAAATTAAGGTATAAAAAATATTATCTCTTATTGTATGAATCAATTTTTTTATTAAAAAAAACATAATTTAAAATTAAAGTCAAGAATTTAAAGCTATGTAACACTAAACAATAAACCCTTTAAAGAAGATGGAGAGAGAAACAAGAAGATCAAGGCAAAGCCAATACTCAGGCGTCAATTTCAATTGAATACTCCTTTTTTTTCTTTTATTTTCGGTAAGCGATGCCTTTAGATAAGGTTGATGGGACATATTTAAAATTTTTACTTAATTGAAAACAAAAATATTGTGATTGAAATGTTACCATATATT